ACTCTTTTGACTGAAATGAAAATATGGGCCGAGTAAGGAATTTCCAAGAATACCAACCTAAAACGTGGATAGGGACTTATCCTAAGACGCCATGAATTTTTGGTTCAAACCTATGTGTTTTGTCCTCTTTTATTGGATAATGTAGCGCAAAAAATTTTGAATTTTTTTTTTTTAGTTTGATTCAACATTCGAATGCCAAGTGATATGCGCACGTTGCGTGCTTACAGTACTCAACCTCTGATGGAAAAGAAAAGTACTGGGAGCTCAGCTCGTTCGAACGCCAATAGCACGTTCGAACGATAAGAGCTTACAATACTGTGGTCTCTAACAGAACTCAAAAGTACTGGGAGCTCACCACGTTTGAATGACATCCACATTCAAATGATATTTTAAAAATTCTTCTACATACATTCGAACGTTATTGACGTTCGAACGATACTTCTCATGCTATAAAAGCCTAGATCGTCTTCCCTAGTTCAAAATTCCCAAAAACCTCTAAAATCCTGCAAACCTTAGAACCCCTTTTCACTCCCCAGCCCTCAAAACTCCACTCATTACCCATTTACACCACAAATCAACTGCCCCAAAGCTATTCCACATCAAAATTCCCCAATTTTCACCAAATACCCAAGATTTTCCACACACCCTCAAGCTCAAAATCGAGAAAACACCATGCCTAGGGTTAAGCTTCCTGCCAGGCGCAATCCACCAATAAGCCAGGAACCTAACTTTTTAGAAGAAGTTATTAAGGAAAAAGAGGGGAAGCAAGTGAAGAAGAGGTATGATCGAACAATATTTCCCAGTGCACTCAAAGCCGAAAGGTATGAAAACTTCTTTCAAAACCATGTTGTAGTTTGTGAAAGAGATGTGGTGACTACTGATTTTGCAGAATTGGGATTGTTGGAGGAAATGGAGAGGAGGAATTGGGTGTGGTATTTGAGGAATGGTGGGGACGCCGTTGTTGACTTAGTACGGGAGTTTTACTCCAACACCGAGATCATCAACGGTGCAATTCGGACAAACGTAAGAGGAATCCACATTGATATGGATGAAGCATACATCAAGGAAATGAGGCAAGAGGTGCCTCGGGTGCAAAACCCAACTTACACGCCAAAAAAAAATGTAGCATTGAATGTGGTTGGGAAATAGTTGACAAGGTTGTCTGACCTCGCCCCCATAGGACGGAAAAATGAGATTTTGCCTAAAATGACTCGCTTGCTTTATACACTGGGAGAAGGGCATAACATCGACCTCCCCTCATTGATTCTAAGTGAAATGAAGAAGGGGTGTGATGTGAAGAGGAGTGCACTCCCTTTTGGCACTTTGGTGACTGAGATATGCACTGATAATGGGAGGAGGCTAAGGCCTGAGATGGAGATCCAAAAGTCAATGGGGCCACTAAACAAAGGCTCTTTCAAGAGAATCCAAGGGCATAGTGGCACCCCCAATGGTGAGACAAAAGGTGCCATCAACCCAGGGAGTTGATGAAGTACAGGACGAGCTTGACTGGGAGGAGGAGAGAGGGATGGAGGAAGAGAGGGACCAAGCACCTACGCAAGAGGTAGGACCCCGCTTCAGCACTCGGAGATCACTAAGAGATATTATGCTTGGCATCGAGGCCAAACAAGACAAGATTCTCTGATAGTAGGAGAAGATTCTTGGCTATTTGAGGAGTGGAGCTGGTGGTGCCAGTAGAGCTGGTGGAGTCAGTGGAGATGGGGGAGATGGAGGAAGTTGATTTCTATCCTTGTTTGGGGTGGTTATTTGTTTTTTCTTTGATAAAAATTTCTTCTTTAAGGGTCCTTGTGGATGTTTGTTGCTTCTTATGATTCTTCTTTGTGATTTTTGGGGATATTTTGTAGATAATGGGGGATATTTGTCTTGGTGGATGTTTATCTTTGTTGTTTCTTGTGGATAAGTGAAGTTTATGTTTCTGTGGATGATTGAATCATTGGTACGATTGTAAACACATCATCTTTTATGGAAGGAATGATTCAGTTTATCACTTTTATTCGTTTAAAATGCATGTATAGGATTAACACTTTAATTCTTGTTAATAAATAACAAAACAGATACGGATGTTATGATTGCTTATGAAAATGACTAAGCACATGATCAGTTTGACACCTCAACTTAACAATCAAGATGTAAAAGCTCATTTTTTTGGAACCTTGATACTATCTCTATGATTTAATTGTCAAATGTACATCAATATTTGTTATTCTTGAGGTATATAGTGATCAGACTCGAAAATGGAATTGCTATAAAACCAACATTCCTCGGAACACCCGAGATAATCAGTGGAGATGACAAAGAAAATCATGGTAAGTCTTGAGCTTTACGGTGCTTTTTGAGAGGATATCATCAATTACTCAAAGTAAGCTCTTTCACTTCTGATCTCTTTCAATAATCTCATTAACTTTGCTTTGATTAACGTAACTAAAGTGATTTATTTCATAACCCACAAGGAACTTTTGCATACACGTACATATGCACATACTTGAGAAAGGATCTTAGGCCATCTTTGGATCGACTTTGAGCCTTAGCTAATTCTTTTACAAAAGTATATCCCTAGTCAGTCATGCTTGAGCCTTTAACGAATGAATTGTTTTTCGAAAAAAAACCGTGTGATGGCTGAGCCACAAAAGTATATATCTACCATACCTTGTTATCTGATTTCTTACATCCTCTTTCAAATCAATATGATACAGAAATGCAAGAAAAATAGAAAAGACAATGGTAGCTACTATTCAATAAAAGGAAAATCGGTGGAAACAACCGAAAGAGAAAAGATACAGTGAGACAAGCAATTTCCAAGAAAGTGAAAAAAAAAAAGAGAAAATAAAAGAAAGAAATCCAATTCCCAGGAAAAATGTCAAGAAGCTAGAAGGAGGTGTGCAACACTGCATAAAAAGATAGCTTTTGATCACCATTGACATCATTTCATTAGCCACTGACCTCTGGGCCCCTTACAACCTACAAAAAGCCCTAGGTGATCTCAAGTGTGATGCATATGTATGTTGTCTACTACAAGTGGAGTGTGTTAACTAGAATTTCTTTATTTGCATCAATATTCTTCTATGAGATTATGCCAAGGTTAAGTCTGTTTTCCTCAAAACTTCACTCTTATACTAATTATGCATGAGATTTTTCGACTAGCCATCTTCTGATCGCATGCCCTTTTGAGAGATAAGTCACTATAATCAGAGCGATTTGTTTTGCTGAGACCATTCCGAGAGAGGATTGTGAAATCAAAGCTGTCCATGGAAGGTGAAAAAAGGGGAATGATTGTTATATACCAATTCTTGTTTCTAGAATGGCCATTCTACTACTCAGGGAATTCCAAATGCCAATGTGACAGGTGCTAATTTTTGCATAGAGTAAGTACCAATGGAAAAGGAATGTAGAGGGTAAGTCACAATTGAGGGTTGAATGTCCTAACGACCATGATGCTAATTCATTTTTTTAGTCAACAATCTCACACACACATTTATTCGACTGAAGTTTGTGGGTAGCTTCATTGAAAACCCTCACAAGACAACACTAGTCCACTGGGTTAAACCTACAACGGCTTGTTGCATAAGCTAAATGTTACTAGATGACCTACAAAAAAGGCATTTACATATCATTGTTGATATATTACTAGAGACTAGCAATATTTAGGTTGCAAGGTGTGATTGGTGCTTAAATGTAGCATATTATTATGCCTTTTTTGGACTAATTATACTTTGATTGAGTTTAAATGATGACATTTCAGGTTCTAAAGTGGAAAAAGGGTTCAAGAACAACAAAAATCACACTTGAATGTAACACTAGCACATTAGGGAACAAAATTGGAGAGGCTTGGAACAAAGCAAGAACGTTCAAACATCAACCCATGTTCGAACGTCCACTGAAACAATGACAAGACCAGACTATGAAGACATGGCATGTTGCAGCATAGAAGGAAGTGCACTTGAGTACCACGTTCGAACGCCAACTCACGTTTGAATGTCCACTGGAACACCTGGGTAATGAATGCAAAATGTCAAGTCTTGCATGAAGTATGGAAGTGGATTTCCTCAGAGGACCACAGACCACTTGAGTGATATGGTCAAACCCCATCTGGTGTTCGAATGGCCATAAAGCAAAAGCAAAAGACATGTTCAAACGTCAGACAACGTTCAAACGTCGATTCACGTTTGAACGTCCTCCACAGATTGCCTGTAGAGTAGTTGATTTTCACAGGCGGCATACAATATTCATTCATCCTCTCTTAACTTCTTGTTTCCTCCTCCCCTTCCTTGCCTATGGGCAGCATTAACTTCTTCCTTATTAGCTCAACCATTGTGATGATTGGCTTGTTCCTTGCATCCAATATGAATTTATTGAATGACTCTATGACATTATTACAGAGCATGTCAAATTTTGGATGTACACTAAACATAGATCTTGCCCATGGTGTTAGGTTTATGCCTCTTAAATACCAATAATAGGACAACATTGCTAGGATTGGTTCTTCTAATCATATTAGAGTAATCCCTTAACTTAGTATATTTCTCTTTATGATTGCCTTGTATCATTTCAAGTGCCTTCATTGTACCCTATATATTTGGCTTCTATTCACATCAATCATGTGGTCCCTTCTCAAACTTTATTGCATTGCACTACCTTTCCACTCTGGATTATCTCTATGGTTCTCAAGATAGGTCATTGCTAACCAAGTGGCAGTAGCTTGCCTATTTTGGTAAGTGTAAATGCACTGGTGCATTGCCCTAAAACTCTTAATCTGGAAGCATAACTTATCCTACATGAGTGAAGCGTTGATACGCTACCCACAAGAATGCACACATATTGTTGTAACCCTATCACCATTATTTTGGATACATTTAAAGTCAAAACTAGACATAATAGCATATGCCCTAAGTGACTTTCTAAAACTAAACTGAATATCATTCCAAGTGCTATTTTGGATCAACCATGTCAGTTGCCTCCATAAACTCCTAGTATCACGCATTTACTTCATCATCATCCGAGTTAAGAGGATTATAAAGATGATCACCCTCTTCATTGGACAAGCAATCATCTAATTTGGCCTTTCCCTTGTCACAACCACTTCTACTCCCATGACCAGAACTACACTCCCCAAGTTTAGACTTCCCTTTGTCAATCTGATTTCCACTTCCATTACCAAAACTATGTTTCCCAACTAAACAACCTATTATTGATCTATCCCTATTAGCTTCTTGATGAGCACATAATATTGCACATTTAACGGCCTCATTACATGCATTTTAACTCAACTTTGCATTTAATTACTTAGAGTTAGCCAAAGTTGTGAATAATGTCAAAATTTTGATGTTACAAGTAATTATAGCTTAAATGATGGATTTTGGAACCTTGTAACTAAGTGTGGATGAGTGGTGAAGACATGGACACATTACATGAGGATTTGGAGGCTTAAAAGTGAAAGAAATCAAGGAGTTATCGGTGCTTGGTAACATAGGCACCAACACCCGCACCATTTGGTATTAGTACCTTGGTGTTTCTCCTTTTCTACCATGATACGCTTTGATTCTGAAAAAGTGCAAAACATGAAAGTTGTAGATCTAGATGTCCTCTATATTGTGTCAAAATTTCAGCTCAATTGGACAGTTGGATCAAAGGTTATGATATTCTATGAAAACTGTTTCGAGGCAGGCAACCTACTAGAAAGACCTACCAATAGTTTTTACTCCAATAGCCAAAACCTACCAGTAGATCGATCAAAAACCTATTGGTAGGTTTTGCTCAGAATGCCCAGAACGCCTGCAACTCATGCTCCACTTGCTTGGAGGTCCCACCTATGATTCTCCCACTTGCCCCCTGACATATTCTACATATATACATGCCTCCTTCGCCCTAGTTGCTGACTTTGGAAGATGAAGGATGGGAAAGGAGGAGAGAGAAAGAGGAGACATGGTGGGTTGCAGGCTAGACTTTTCTTAGCCTGTGCAATACATCAACTCAGCCCCCTATGGATGGGAGGGCTTTCACACACCTAGGGGGACCACCATGAACGAAATTGTAAGGTTTGCACACCATATATTTAGCATTCCACATGCTTTGAAAAGGGAGGCTACCTAAGCTTAGGAGTAGTTTTAGTGAGATAAGCTCCAAGGAAGAAGATGAATAGTGTTAGAGAGATAAAATTTGTGTTTTTGCATTTTCTTCACCCGTTTCATTGCAGTAAGTTGTAGTTCTCTTGTAATCTTTATTTCTTGTATTGTTTCTTTTAATTCTAGTGTAATCAAGTTTAATTCAAATGTTCTTGCACTTTTATTTCTCTGTTGGGTTTTCCTTTTAAGCTTTAGATATGTTTATGAAATGAATTCTTCTTTGTAGTCTACTTCCTTTTAGCATCAATACAAGTTCTATGTTCCATTTCACTACCATGTCTTCTTACATTATGTTTGTTCTTGCTTTTAACTAGGAGTAGCTAGATTTTAAGTTGGCTAATCCAAGGGAGAATTCCTCTTATGTGTGCTACTTCAACTCATTTTCATTCCTCCTTGTAGTGTAAGTTGATTTGGTTTGACTGGGTAGAGTGTGAACGTGGTTGTTAGTTCTTGATACACCGTAGGCATTGTCACAAGGTATGCTTGGATCCTCACCCCCATTTTAGTCCCTCGCTTCCCACGAATCAATGGAACATCTAGACACCACTGGAGGAAGGTCTTGAATTTATTTGACATTCCCATTGGAATGACCCCTTCGGATTAGCCAACACTTGTTTCCCTTTCATTTTTNTTGGAGGAAGGTCTTGAATTTATTTGACATTCCCATTGGAATGACCCCTTCAGATTAGCCAACACTTGTTTCCCTTTCATTTTTAGCAGAAACACAAATACCAAACTCAAACTCAAAGATTTTTACACTATACCTGTTTTCACCAAAATCACCTCCACACAATTCCCTTCCTTCCCTGAGGAGACGACCTTGGAATACTCATTCCAAGTAAAACATGACACTCGAAAGTCTCTCTGAGCTTGGGGAGTAGTTTTGTTCACACACAGGCATTTTGTTCATTTCATTCCACCCTTTTTCAGTTTCCCCATTTCTTGCATCATTCTGAGGGAGAGTGACACTCCCTATCCCTATAAGCCATACACACATTGAAGGATGATGTTTGGAGATTAGGGAGTACAACGAAAACAATCAGGCACTTCTCCCAAAATCTCATCAATCACACCATCATGGAAATACACCAAGGCCATGTCAGACAAATCACCAAAGGAATCAGTATATCTAACCTCAATATCAAGACCATCTTCTAAATTGGACATAAAATCATTACTAAATTAGTAACCCTCTTCAATAATCTTATCCTTATTACCTTCATTAGTCTGATCCATCACTAAATACAACTTAATTATTGACCTCCCCTTATTACACCCAACCATGTTGAGCACATAAAGATCAAAGGCTAAGGATATTAACCCATCTCCACTATCAAGGACTAGTACCATATGATAAATTGTGAATCCTACTACTTTTTAATAGCCAAGTTGTTTCAACCATGTCCTCTACCTTGATCAATGACATCAAATCTAGGTCAACATTGTCAAACCTGCTTACTTTACCTCCAACATACGTTAATGCGGGGTTGATTATGTCAAATTGCCCACCATGATAATAATCCAGCGAGAAGCAACTAGTAGCCATCTAAACAAAACATATAAAAAGAGAATTTTTTGTTAATAGGGACCTTTAACATTGATATTCACATGCATTAAACTAAAATAATATATTGCCTCACACAACCCCAATAACCCATGACCCACATGATTCCAACATAAAGATTTTACTTTTCAATAAAATAATACAACAAAAGGTGACCAAAAAACTCTATGATTCGTTAGTTATAGCAAACAAAACACACCCCATGTGTGGACCCATCATGCACAGATCTGAGCACAATCAACAAAAACCCCATGGATAGAAAAATTGCATTGTAACTTACCTACGGTGTTGATTACAGCAGCTGAGGACTTCAATCAACCTTGTATATATCATATACCTAAATCGATAACTTCAAGCATTTGAGGACTTCAACCATCATAGACTGGTGTGGGGTGGATTGAGAGAGTGGTTAAATAACTAAGGATGAGCATAGAATATTTGTATATCATGTATCTCTTTGCACCCATTAATACTTGCTTTTGCGGTGAAAATGGGGAAAATGCATTTAAACTCACTTTTAATGGAAATTTGTGTGATTGTAGGTAATTGCTTGGTTTATTTTGTCGTATACCCTAATCTCTGAACATCATCCAGTCACGTGTATGTGACTCATATGGATAGGTGAGTGTCACTCTCCCTCGGAATGATACAAGAAATGGGTAACGTGTATGTGGAATTAAATGTGTGTGTGTGTACAAAAGTGCTCTCCAAGCGTAGATAGACTTTCAAGGGTTGTGTTTTACTTGGAATTTGTATTCCTAGGTCGTCTCCTCAGAGAAGGAAGGGAATTATGTTGAAGGTAATTTTTTGAAAAATGAAAAGTGTAAAATCTTTTGAGTTTGAGTTTGGTGACTAAAGATTGTTTATAAAAATGTAATGGAAACAAGTGTTGGCTAATTCGAAGAGGTCATTCCAATGTGAATGTCAAATCAACTCAAGACATTACTCCAATGGTGCCTAGACGTTTGATTGATTCGTAGGAAACGAGAGACTAAAATGGCGGTGAGGATTCAAGCATACCCCGTGACAAGTCTACAGTGTATCAAGAATTCTCAACCATGTTCACACTGAACCTAATCAAACCAAACCGTCGTACACTACGAGGATGAATGAACAATAATTGATTTAGCATACCCAAGAGGATTTCTCCCTTAGATTAGTCAACTTAAAACTTAGCTACTCATGTTTAATGCAAGAACATAAATGAGGTAAAGAGACATTGTGAAGAAATAAAGATTGCAACTTGGATTGATACAAGAGAACTTAAACTATGAAGAAATACATTTAATACCCATTTTAAAAGCTTGAAATGAAGAAACTCAATTCAACAATGGTAGAATTCAAAATGTGCAACTAAACTTCCAATGCACTTATAATAAATGACATTAAAGGTAATAAATGAAGCTTACAACAGTCTTATAAAAGATTACAAGTGAAATGGATGAAGAAAATGCAAATATCTAAGCTTTCTCTCTCTAAAACTATATCTTCTTCCTTTAGCTTCTCTCTTTATATTGCTTTACAACCTAAATAATGCTAAATGAAGCTTGCAAATTCGTCCATGGAGGTCCCCCCCAGGTGTGTGACAGACCTCCCATCCATAGGAGGCTAAAGTTATGGCAATAGGTAGGCTAGGACAGCCTACCCAGCAACTCCTAGGCCTCTCTATTTTTTCTCCTCCTCAATAATGCTTGAGCCTCCAAATTCCAAGCCTAGGGTTGGGAAGGCATGTCTGTGTGTAAGAGATGTAAGGGGACAAGTGGGAGACTCATAGGTGGGACTCCCATGTGGTAGAGCTTGAGTTGCAGAATCTGGCGTTTTTCAACAAAACCTACTGGTAGGTTTTACTCTAGTAGCCAAAACCTACCAGTAGTTTTCCGGTAGAACCAACTCCAATAGCCGAAACCTTCCAGTAGTTTTCTGACAAACCTACCAGTAGGTTTTTACTTATTTTGCTCAAATCTTGGTCTTTTTACCTTCTATTCCATAGTCAAGCCTCCCCTTCATCTCCATTGACTTCAAAAACTACAATGGGGGCTTAACTCATGTCATTTTCAACTTTTTGCCTACAAACATACTGAAACCTTATTAAATGTAAAAATATTGCAATTCCTCTTCTTTTCACCACAAAAGCAAGTCTAAAAAGGGTGCAAATGACGTGCAATATTTTGTTCTAATCACACCCCCCAACTTGAGTTTTGCTAGTCCCTAGCAAACTTTATTTTCAAACCATAACGTATAAAACTAGAATAATCCATTTACACAAGTATATCAACAACATTTAAAATGCAAAAATCACAATGCAATTAATGAAATGACTTTGGGCAAGATGGAACAAACAACTGTAGTATTTCTCATTAATTACTTTCAAAAGTTAGGTACATGGAGTTAGAATTCAAAAAGAAACAAAACGGCCAAAAATTCCTAGAGACTCTTCTACTAGGCTGATAATTCCACTCTTAGCTATTTACAAC